CTGTACTCACCCCCTCCCTGTCCGTTCCGCCAGCCAGCGCTGGCAGATCGGAACGGGGAGAGGGGAATCCAGCCCCTCCCCCTGTCACGGCAGTGAGCCGTGACAGGATTGAGAGGTGAGCGAACTCCCCGATATACTGAGCCGATCTGTGACAGTCTCATTGTCACAGGTCGGCTAGAACTATGAGGTGAGTGGAAATCACTCATCTCATAGTTCTCCTTTAAATACACCGGCCACATAATTTTATTAAAGGGTATCTGTAGTCAGAAACTAAAAATAAATATGTATTTCTGTATTTGAGGTTTTATTGAAAATGGGGGTTTATTGCTGCACCCACTGATATCAGTGTTGTGGGTTTATTGCTCCACCCAATGATACCAATGCTGGGGGTTAATTGTTGCACCCATTGATACCAATGGAGGTTTATTGCTGCACCCAATGACACCAGTCCTGAGGGTTTATTGTTGCACTCATTGACACCAGTGCTTGGGGTTTATTGCTGCACCCAATGACACAAATGCACATGGTTTATTGTTGCGCCAAATGACTGGTGGTTTAATTCTGGTAGTTTATTGCTGCACCCACTGATACTAATGCTGGGGGTTTATTGCTGCACTCAATGACGCTATTGCAGAGGGATTAATGTTGCACCGACTGAAACCAATGTTGTGTGTTTATTGCTTCACCCATTGATACCAATACTGGGGGTTTATTGCTGGAACCAATCATACCAATGCTGGGGGTTTATTGCTGGAACCAATGATGGCAATGCTGGGGGTTTATTGCTGGAACCATTGATACCAATACCGGGGGTTTATTGCAGCACCCATTGATACCAATGCTGGGGGTTTATTGCTGGAACCATTGATACCAATGCTGGGGGTTTATTGCTGGAACCAATGATACCAATGCTGGGGGTTTATTGCTGGAACCAATGATACCAATGCTGGGGGTTTATTGCTGGAACCATTGATACCAATACTACGGATTTTTTGCTGCACCCAATACTACCAATGCTGGGGGTTTATTGCTGGGACCATTGGTACCAATACTGGGGGTTTATTGCTGGAACCATTGATACCAATACTGCGGGTTTATTGCTGCACCTCTTGGGGTTTATTGCTGCACCCAATGACACAAATGCACATGGTTTATTGTTGCGCCAAATGACTGGTGGTTTAATTCTGGTAGTTTATTGCTGCACCCACTGATACTAATGCTGGGGGTTTATTGCTGCACTCAATGACGCTATTGCAGAGGGATTAATGTTGCACCGACTGAAACCAATGTTGTGTGTTTATTGCTTCACCCATTGATACCAATACTGGGGGTTTATTGCTGGAACCAATCATACCAATGCTGGGGGTTTATTGCTGGAACCAATGATGGCAATGCTGGGGGTTTATTGCTGGAACCATTGATACCAATACCGGGGGTTTATTGCAGCACCCATTGATACCAATGCTGGGGGTTTATTGCTGGAACCAATGATACCAATGCTGGGGGTTTATTGCTGGAACCAATGATACCAATGCTGGGGGTTTATTGCTGGAACCATTGATACCAATACTACGGATTTTTTGCTGCACCCAATACTACCAATGCTGGGGGTTTATTGCTGGGACCATTGGTACCAATACTGGGGGTTTATTGCTGGAACCATTGATACCAATACTGCGGGTTTATTGCTGCACCTAATACTACTAATGCTTGGGGTTTATTCCTGGAACCATTGGTACCAATGCTGGGGGTTTATTGCTGCACTCAATGATACCAATTAAATTAACTTCTAGGAAACCTGTCATGAGAGCAAGATTGACACTGCCATTGCTGACCCCCATCCGAAAATGCTAGTTCCCTGGAGGTTGTGGTCAACCTCTGGCTCCAGTGTTTTATGGGTCACTGACTTCACTGGTGTGCTTATTCCAGGCCTTTGCTCAGTAGGTATTTAAGCCAGAAACAGCCAGGCAAGTATCAGTTTTAGAAGGGGGTTGGCAATAGCAGCCCCTATATTTTTGTAATAACAAGTTTAAAAAAAATATGCTATATACTTTGTATAAACACTAGAAAAATATACTGCAGGACTTCGCTAAATGTATCTATTATAAAAATAAAATACTATAAAAAAATAAGATTCCAATTAAAACAGATTTAGAGTACAGACCAAATAAAAGTCCAGATCCACTTTGCAGAAAATTCTGAATAGAACTTCAATAATTTTTTTTATACACCTTATCTTAAATCCACCTCCACTACCGCTTGGACAGTCACCAGACATAATAAACGTAAGCTATCAGAGGACACATATAATTAGAGACCGTGATGTGACTCAAATCTGCTGAGTGATTGTCCAAGCGGTAATGATCGATTTAAAGTGTGTGTCAAGCCAAAACCTTTTTTATAGCTTTGGATAGAGTTGGGAACAATTGGTTGATGTATAATGGTTGTCTAAACATTGAATTAAGGGGCGCTCATGATAGCTGCTGCAGCTTCAAAGGGTGTGTGATGCATGCAGGCAGCACACATATTTCCACTCATCTATATAGAGGAGGTATGGAGACTGCAGATGCTAACATTCCACCTTGAAAATACAGTACTTGTTCCCGACTGTCTTGCTTGCCCAGTGGCTTCAGTACTTTGGTTTCAAATAATTGTGGTATTGCTACATATGGGATCTTATCACGTTGTGCTCATACAGAATAATGTTTTTGTTAGCCCCTTTAACAGGGGGTGCAATTACATCCTAGTTGAGCATTCAAGGGTAACAGGGCCCAAGCCTGTTTGTTGCATCATTATTTATCCAAAAGTATTTCAAAAAGCAGCATAGAACCTTAAAGAAATCCAGCAAATGTTTTTCTTAATCCTTGCAGTGGTGCTCCCCCTCCACTGCAAGGGTTAACTGCTCATTGTCTAAATTTAAAAAAAAAGTTATAATCACCCAAAGCTTTAAGCTGGCCAACTGTCATAGCACTCCCTCCAGCCTGTCTCCTCCTATGCTGCAGCATTGTCATCCTAACGTCTATACAATGTGTATTAGGGATATACCGATACTAGTATCGGTGCCAATGCAGAGTATTTGGACGAGTACTCATACTCCCCCAAATGTTCAGATTCCTGGCCTGATACTTGAGCTTCCAGTACCAGGAAGTAGGGCAGCGTGTCATTTCTGATTGGCCAGAAAGCCAGCTTCATGGCCAATCAAGAAGCTGAGCACCGTGTAATGACGCGTTGCCCGGCTTCCCGATTGGCCAGCTCCTCGACCAATCAGGAGGAGCTGGCCATTTGGCCTGCAGTTGGCTGTCAATTTAGGTACATCTCTGTCAGATGCAGACCGTATAGCTCCTCCTGTCAGCTCTGGCACTCAATAATTCCTTTTGGCTGGAGCTCTTACAGTTCTGAGCGGAGGTCGAAAGGAAGGATTAGCAAAGTTTGCACTGGACCTTACGAATCAACCACTGGATCACCAGGAAATGTGCAGGTGAAGGGGCTCTCTTATTTTATGTGGGGGGGGGGGTCGTACCTGACTTGACAGCCAGCTGCGGGCCAAATGGTGCCAGTTCGTGGGCTCGCATTGGCCCATGGGCCGGTACTTTGAGACCCCTGTGCTAAAGGGAATGAAGGCTATGGTATTCTATTGCTCTGGAGATTTGAGCAAGAGGATAGTTAGTACCATCTAGGCCTAATAGTGCACATTTTGGTACTGGGGGAGCGGGCAGTGTTCCGGTATTTACATGCAGGGGCTGTCACCCAAACATTAACTTGAATGCCAGATTAGGGATTCCTGCTGCAGGAAAACACAAATTTTGAAGTAAGTGCAATTTTTGAAGTATGAAATTTGGCAAGCGGCCCCCATGGGAGAAATGTATCCAGTGGCCCCCGAGTGAATGGAGTTTAAGACCCCTGCTTTAGAAGAATGCCCATACATGGCCTGACAGATGGTCTTTCCATTGAGGCAAAGGCTGTGTGGTGCTGGGCAGACTACCTAGTGAATAACCCTAAAAAGCAGGGTTGTAGGTACGTTTAACCTATATTGAGGTATTGGGGGAGGAAACTGGGCACAGAAATGTATAAGCGCATTAAAAACAGACTTATCATTTTAGATGGTGAAAGAGTTGGGAGGCCGATCAGGATTGTAGTAATTTTCACCCTTTGACATGTTTGAAGTTGTATGTAATCATGAAACCTCACCTCCAATGCATCGGATATGTTATTTGAGTCCTTATTTAATCCTGGAACTATTTCCTATTTTGCAATCATACACTTGAGGATAATGACCCTAGTTTTCTAGCCGAGCTGATACTGTGTCCTGGAGAAGGGAGTTCCCAGTCACAGATTGACGGGGATTTCCGATCCTCTCATGTGACCCATCCCAATATCATCTGCTAAACTGCAACATCTTTAGTGCGAGTACATTACAGTGTATAACATTCCCATTGAGTGGGTTCAGGTATTAGGATTAGACCATAGACTGATACTAACCACTCACACATTTACAAAAACAGCAAGCTAGATTTGTTTAATTCTTTTATTTAGAAAGCATAAAAAGTACATAAAAAGACAGTGCAGATGGGGAGTTTGCATGGCATATGAGATGATGTATCATTTCGACATTATCCTCACTGGGCCAGTGAGGGCACTATGTACTAAAATGTGCAGGCTTCACAACCCTGCTGCAGTTGTCATTGGTCCCGTTTGCCCCATCATGACATTTAATATGACAGTTTCCAACTGAGATTTGTTGCAATTTGTTTTATTCTTATGAAGCTGTATCTAATGGAAAACCCTGAAGCTGCATAGAAAGAGTTAGCAATGCTGCCATCAGAAGCTATTACATCCTATGGCGGTAGCCTGACATGGCGATCAGCAGCGGTGTTAGCGAATAGCCAGCATGCACTATGAACAGTTGTCATGCATCGATTTCTCAGCATTAATGCATAGCAGTCACAGGTTGCTTTTTTTTTTTTTTTTTTAGTTTTTTGTAGGATGAAATGCTCCAGGAATTTGGCATAACAAATATGTATAGTGTTAGTACAGCCATTATTCTGGTTGCATCACTTTAGTACATAGTTTTCAAAGATTATGGGAAAATAGGACAGGAAAGTTGAATTGATGGGGCTGAGGTAAGATAAGGCAACTTGGCATCACCATTTGTTACTGTAAGATTTCGGAATTGCATGGAAATTCTGAGCACATTCTCATGACAAAAAACACTTCAGGGTTCTGCAAGAAAAGAACAAAGGAGAAGAGATTACCGATACCTTACTGGCATATATATCCATTATTTTAAATGATACTTGTAATGGATGTAAAGTTTCTTTGGGGTGTATTTATAATACTTCCTGCAAAACGGTCATGTTTCATTCTGTGCAAATGGGGTTGAATGTAATGTAATACCAGGGAAAATACGCAGTATGGCCATTAAATGGAGCCGAGGAGCACAGGAAATATACTTTTCTATGCTCATCAGCTCCCTCTAGTGGCCATAATGTGGTATTTTGATATTACATTTAACCTGGAATGAAAATACACTAGTAACATTTTTATTATTCCCATTCACACCTTAGACTGTAACTGGATCTGCAACAGCCGATATCTTGCAGGATTGGGGACAGTTAAGTATAGGACCAGGCAGGGGTGGTGGCGGGTCCTACAGAATATGCACAAATGCTCCAGGAGGTGCAATTACACTTTAATGGCACCTTTGCTTTTAATTTTTGCATAGAGCAGGGAAGGGTTAGAACCCCAGTCATGGCCCACCTGCTTCACACCTGGCTGTTCTATTGCACTGACACACATGCATTATGTTGTGTGTTATGGTGCAGCCCATTCAAATGGTGACGCACCACAATGGACCTAAAATCAGACCTGCACAATTTGTAACCGAAGTGCACCATAATGCATGGTAGTGCGTGGCAAACATACACAGGTATGTTTGAGATGCATTGCTTTAGTGCGTTGGTGTGCCATTCGATACACAGCAATACCTGCCAAGTGGTGATCTGCATTCAGCAATATGCTTTATTGTTTTTTGGGTCCTTGCTGTGGAGATTCACCCTATTTGTCCACATGACCACTGTCACCATGCTGCCAGACTTGGCACAGCAAAATCCGTTCAGAAAGATTGACTTTTCTCCTGCAACTGTTTGGCCTGAGGGTGTCTGCAGAGAGTGCAGTGTGTCCATGGGCATACATTTCCTGATCTGATCTTGGATTGGGAAGTAATCAGCTCATGTCTACGGCTAGCTATATGTGCTAAGTCAGCACAGGATGGGATGGATTCCGATTGGTTTCAATGCTTTTTTTAAATTAGATGCTTTTCATTGAAGTTTTTCCAAATTCTACATTCTTTTCCCTATCCAAAAGGAGAAATTGCATACAATAATGCCAAGTGTTAATACCGTTTAACAAAATAATACATCAAATACCAAACTAAATAGAAAAAAAAAGAGTTAAAAGATAAAAAATACATTACACTCTGTGCTCTTCCCTGCTCAGCACACTGGTACCAAAAGGTACATTGCCACTAATCCTCATAGTATTATTTAGCCATCGTAGCCACAGACACAATCTAAAAAGATTGAATCCTCAATTGATATGTTTTTTAAATCTCATATAGAGTATTTATATATTTCTGGTTTCCATTCTTCCACGATAGGCGGGTATAATGATAATCATTTTTGAACTAATAGTTTACAGGCCAAAAACAGTGCTCGTGTTACTGTTAAAGATATATTCCCGTCCATACCTGAGGAATCATTACACCCCAAAATACTTGAGGGGTTCAAGCTCCAATGATATCCCATAGATGCTATTCAACATAGTAATTACACCTGACCAATATGGTTTAAGCTTCGAGCATCTCCGAAAGAGGTGAATCAAAGTCCCCTGTAAGCGATGACATTTTAGACAACTGGGGTTCGCCCTCAGACTCTGACTCAGTTTAAAAAGGAATAAAGGAATGATAAACTATGAATAATATACACTTGGGTCAGCTTATGTGATGGTGAAAGAGATGCACACTAGGGAATATTAAGTGCTTATTGCATTTATTAAAGTGTAGTTCCACTTTACAGCCAAATGTGAGAACCCCCCCAGGGCCGCATTTACTCTCTCTGCTGCCCAAAGCCAAGTTCCTCAATGTAAAAAACAAGCGGCGGCTTCCCCGCTCTACATTTAGTTCTGCTTGCCCAAAGCAGGGCTAAATATAGAAAACTACCCACCCGCCGCCCTGGAACTGCATGTCCCGGGTGTTGGGAGATAGGAAATCCACACCCCTGCTGCCCCAAGGCCAGGCCTTGGTTGACCTAGTGGGAAATCCAGCCCTGACCGCCCACCACCCGCCCACCACCATCACACACACACACTACTCTGAACAACTTTAGATGGAAAAACTGGAGACAGATTGAGTTCCCCTTATTAACATACAAGGCAGAACACAAGCCTTGAGATCTATAACCCTGCGTAAGGACAGACTGTGTTGAAATATAGTTTACAACCGATAATGAGATCTTCCAGCACAGTACAGACAAGGTTAATTATGGTATACAATAACTTCCCACCTCCTCAACATTACACCACTCCAACCTCACTCCCATGATGGACTACAATCCCACTACAAATTAGTAAACTAAACATGAGATTGTAGTCTATCGCGGGGCCGAGCTTGGAACGGTGGCTACTTTACAACACACACACAGGGACCATAGGGAACAAAAGTAGCCACCCTCCAGAAGGAAGGACAGTGTCAGCACCAATTCAGAGATGATTGGAGGATCTACAGCTAAGTGATAGACAAATAAGATACATTTTTGTTAATAGTTAGGGTACTTGAATGCATTTAAGATTTAACACCAAAGTATAGTGTCACTTAAAGTTATTGTATGCGAATACAAACATGCAACAAATATAAAGTAGGTGTTATCCCAATTTGGCTGAAGTGTAAATACACTTTAAGCATTAGCACTGTACTTTATACTAAATAAGTCCAATAGTAACCAATTGAAACTTATCTGATCTGAAAGCTGCAATTACAGAACTCACTGCTCTTTGGTGCTAAATGGGAGTAGAGCAGGAGGGAACTGAAGAGAAGGTTGTAGTATGTAAAGCTGGAGGGGGCTGGGATTAAAGTGAACCTGTTGCGTTGCCCTGCATGAACAAGCACAAGTTTGCTATAACTCTTACCAGTTAGTATTATTTGGATTGTGTAGATTAAAAACTGCGCTCATTTTCTTATCTACTTTTTACTTGAAAGACTTTTAGAACTAACAAAAAAGATAAACAAACTACTGTGAATATTTCAGTGGTGTGTGCAAGTGTATAGAAATTGGAATATCTTTCATTTACATATTGGCACCAAAATAGGTGCGGATATCTTTGCTGGAGGAGGAAAGAAGGTATTATGTCCCATCAAGCCCACAGTATTTCCTGGAAGAGAATACACATACTAATGCTGGGCACACCCCTTCCCACCATCGCAAGACTTTTGTCTTGCGATGGTTGCAAGGTACTTAAAAAAACGTACGATCTACCTATCTTGGACAGGCAGATCGTACTTGCGATGATCACAAGCCGCACCCCCCTGAGGGACGGGCTTCCGATGACCGCAATGCCGAACGGCAGTGTGCGCTTGCGCACACCGGCCCGTCCGGCTTTTATCTTACGAACATGCTACACACCCGCCGAATATCATACGATGCTCGGCGGGTTTTCGAACATGTTCGTAAGTTTAAAGTCGTGCGACCTTACAGTAGTAGAGGTCGCACGGCTTCCACACACCCCAAGATAATCGTACGATCGCGGGATTTCCCGCGATTATCGTAAGGTGTGTGGACACTCTAAGAATGCTGTAAAAAAAAAAAAAAATGAAGCAGTTCCATTGTATTTTGTGGGTAACCGTTGATGTTGTATGGGACGATCATTCCTGCACCAGGAGGTCTATACAGTTAGTCAAGGTTGAAAAGTTTCACATTATTATAATATTTATCTCTGCTGATATCTCAGGCTCGGCTTAATAGACACCAATGGGATATTTTCCAAAATACATGCCTAGAGGAAGACTTATTTAAAGGATCTGATTTCCAATAGCAAGAGATCCAATATCCCCAGTATGGCTCCCTTTAATGATGTATCCATGTTTGACTTTGTGCTTTTTCCATGTTGTCCAGCCAAAGGAGATCAGAATTCAGTAGGAGAAGTTATAAATAGTATGTACATATTCGTGGCACTGTGTGTACTTTATTTGGCTGTAAAATGTGTACAGTTTGGACAAAGTATTAGATACTGTTTGTGACTGTAAAATGTACACATATCATACAAAGTGTACACGAGTACGTACTATGTGTGTGTATGTGTGTGCGCGCGCTGTATATGGGGATATGTAGTGTGTGAACATAGAGCTGGGAAGATTAATAGAATTATCTATTTTTTAAACTTACATTGGGTTAACTTGGTTTCATGTAAATATCCAAGTGTCATATCCAGAGGGCCACTGGGGATGCTGAAATTCCTGTAGTAGTCTTTTCTACATATAGTTAGCACTGTCCTATTCTGGGTGCCGCTGGAGCGACTTGCTGTCTATGCGCTCGCTCCCATCTCATACATTCAGCAAATATCTTCAGGGTTATTCACAAAAGGGTGAAGAGTTTGGAGAAGGCAGGAGAAGTGAACAATCTAGGACAACATAGCGATTTTGAGAAAATTCTCCAATTCAGCTCACTTTCCAGTTCAGCTATGTTGTCCTAGATTGTTCACTTCTCCTGCCTTCTCCAAACTCTTCACCCTTAAGCAAATAACCCGGCTTGTTTTTCTTCAATGAATTCAAGGCAATCTCTGATTCGAAGAGGTGGTGATCGTGTCATCATCCACCCTTCTTCTCTGCCTCATTCAGTCTGAGTATGCCTTGTCCAATCAGAGAAATGCACTGCGCACTTCAAGTAGAACTAAAGCCAACACTTTTTTTTTTAGTTTTTGGTCAGAGTTAAGGTGCCCATACACCTTACGGATATCAACTGAATTTAGTTTGCGATTGCGTTTCCGTACGATATTCGTAAGGTTGATGGGCAGTGTACCACCGCAAATAGTGTACAATCATACGATGTTCCTCTTTCCAGCAGGTTAGAAAACTTCTTTTTTCGATTTTCGCAAGGTTGGTGGTGTTTCCGTACGTCAAAAATCCTACGATTAACACTTCCAATGCGCAAACGAAAATCCGTGCGGTTGAT